GCCACAGCAATGCGTGGCTGGGTACAGCTAGTGTAACAATAATTTTATTGTGGTCCCTTTGAATCCCCACCACCTCTCCTGATTCCTCTGATTATCACCATCTCTTTGGTTCAGGAAAGAAAAAGAGACAGCAGGTCCTACATATGGTGGTTAATAGTTTTTCATAATTTCTTAGTCACCCATTCACTGAACAAAATGGATTTAGATTGCTTAGATTATTCTTGTGGCCATAATCTTTAATTTTGATTTTAAAAAGTCAGGAAGCCCCAATTAGAAATTAGGGTTCTAAAATTGTTTTGTTTTTCTTCTTTTTTAAAACTCTAGTCCATAAATCTTGAAAGATAATAATAAAAACATACATTAATTTTAATTAAACTCTTGAGATTATAGAGTTCTTGGTAGCTCTTTCAGTATGTAGAAAAGAACATGTTGGTACAGCTGAACACCTTATTTCCATAGGACATGGGAATTGCCTGGACTTTTTTTATTTGAATCCTGAGCCTGTTAGCTTCTTTCTCTTCTCAGTACAAGAAGTCCTTCATGGAGCATATTAGGAACATGGTGACTCGCATGGTTAGGATGCTGGGTTGGAGGTTAGCAAGCCTATGTTCAAGACCTGAGGGCTGCTGTGTGGTGGGGTGAGCTCCCATTACTCACCCCAGCCTCCTTGACAGGACATGAAAGAAGCCTCCATGGGCATCCAGCGGGCAATGGTGATGTCATGGGCTAATCTTGTCAACCCAGAAGTGCCTCCAATATGAATAGGATGTGTCCCCGTCCTGTTCATAATCTAATACATCTCATACATAGGATGTATGGGATTAGCATACCCAGATGGTTTGCAAATGTAGAAAACTTGCTTAAAGAAAGAAAACTTGATGGTGCCATCAATCTTGCCCAAATATATCAAGCTGTGAGAAGTGATGTACACTTTATGGCTTATATAACTTCCATGGAATTTAATTACGTGAGATCTAAGATGTCTAAAACATAAGAACTTTATTTTCTAATATGTTCTTTTTCCCCCTCCCACATCTAGATACGGTGGCTGGAGTTTTGGGCTGCCTTTGACTAGTAATCTCCAATTTGATATAAACCCAATACCTGCTAACAGAACAGTAACAAAGGTAAACTACGGACATTTAGTTGTTATGAAATACAGCAAACCAATAAGTGATTTCTCAAATTTAATATACATGTAATATATCTTGTTAAAATTCACTATTTAATTACATTAAAAACCAGGATCTTATTGCAGATTTCTCAGGTACTAGAACTATTTAAGTGTTGCAGACAGAAAAAAAATGAGACTTGGAGAAATGGACTCGATTAAGGAAGCTTGTCAAGTTCTTGAAAGGCATGAGATGCAAACAATTTCATGATTCATAATTCAGATTCACAATCACTGTATTTTACCAACTCTGGTGTAATTTTGTATTAATAGATTATATTTTATATCTGTATAGCGTATGCATAAAATGTTCCCCTTAACTCTGTGGTCCAGGAGTTAATGGTCCATATTGGGAGGGACCATGCAAGCAAATGGGTCAACTGCAGTTTTTGTTTCTTTCTACAGTATCATAATTTTCAAGAAACAGATATGCTGCTGTAGCAAGAGATCTAATTTTGGGTCATATCAGCATTTATTTTGTAAAGGAACTTTTGTTTGTCCGTTTCTAATGTGCTGAGAAAGCCTGTCAAGGCTAGAAAATCCATCTGACAGTAATTGCTTCTAGGGGAACTGGGACATGGACTCTGAGCTTTCTCAGCAGAGCTACTTTTAAATGCACTTTCTGTCCTCAGATACTGTGCATAAAGGTTCTAGTTCTACTAAAACTGGAGAAGCACTTTGAGGACCTGATTTCTTGCTTCTTTGAGTTTTGAGAAAAATTGCTTCGATTTGGCAAATATTTTTGGCCAATATAAATATTATTTTGCTTCTACAAAAACAGACAGATCCTAACAATGGCCCTGTGGATTGGAACTGTAATCACACAACTCATGAAGTTAAGTAACTGAACTTAGAAAAGTTACTGTTCTCTTACCTTAGTTTTCCAAGAATTCACAATCTAGAAGCCTGCAGATTTTTCAAAATCCCTTTGACATGAATAAACAAACAAACAAACAAACAGATACTTTATTTTATTATTTTTAATGTTGATTATGGAGTGGGCTTGCAGGTATATTCTGTCTCATTCACTTGCGTTCTAACCTTCACTGGTTACAAATTTATTCACAAAATTACAAATACATATATATTGCCTATTATTTTTGTGCCTGAAATTTAAATATAGGTCTGGTATAATCCGGAAGGATATCATAGCCTCCCAGCTTACCTTAACAGCTTGAATAACTTCATTCTCCGTGCTTACTTACCACACCGAAACGCCTCTGGATATGGTAGGTATCCACTTGCCACATAGTTTTCTATTTGAAGATGAAAGCTTTTGTTTTCCGCTTATCTTTAAATACATTGTGACATCTGACGCATTATGCTACTGTTCATCCCTTCTAAAAATGAACCTACAAAATTGCAGAATAGTTCATCCAAGTTTTAGGCTTTCCAGAGCATCATTTATTCCTTTTTGAATTCTGCTATAGGTTATTGAATAAAATACAAATTGGTTTGCATTGCAATAAGGTGAAAATCCTACAATGAAGCATTTTAGTTTTTTAAAAAATCTTAAATATCCTCAACTAATAAAGGATGCTGAATATAATAAATTTGAAACAGAAAGATTCTCTGAAGGGATTATTTTTCCATCACCATTTAAAGTAGCCAATAGCATATATATGCTTTGACAAAAAGACTGTTCAGAAATTCTTGAAATGTCCAGATAAAAGTTAATTATGATTATGTTATTGTTTTTAAAATAGGTAGTAACAATCAAGACCCTATCATTGTGTTTCAAATTTATTAATCCCCAGTGCAGTTTTAAGATTAGAATTAGGATAGAAACCAAGATCTAGACTGCAACGTTTAGGTACTGATTGAAATTAATGTTTATTCCAGTGGGATTGATATCCCTGACCAGCAAGGGTAACACTGATGTGGAAGATACATATCAGAGAAAAATTGGTGTTTTTGAAGCAATTTTAAAAATGGGATGCAAAAGCAATAGCACTTAGACTTATATACCACTCTATAGTGTTTTACAGCCCTCTCTAAACAGAGTCAGCATATCGCCCCCAACAGTACGGGGGGGTCCTCCTTTTACCGACCTCAGAAGGATGGAAAGCTGAATCAACCTTGAGCCAGTCAGGCTCAAACTCCTGACTGTGGGCAGAGTTAGTTGCAATTCTGCATTCTAACCACTGCACCACCACAGCTGCTCAATCAAGCAAATTGAATACTAATAAATACTAATTCTTGACACGGCACCAAGGCAATATAGTATGACTTTTGAAGGCTTTACTATTGAGCCAGCTGAAAAAGAAAACGGACAATGGTAACTAGAGACTCAGTAGCCATAAATAAAATATAAAAAAAGAATAATCTCAAAATATTATTTTCACTATTGTTTATTTAATTCCATTCATTTTCAAACTTCCATTTTTACATTCAATGACTGCAGTATCTGCCAGTGGAAACAGGCTCCCAAGCTCCATTTTCAGCTGCGACGGCCTCCTGCAACCCTCTGAAAACGGAGCTCCATTTTCGCCTGCAGAAGCACCACGGGCTGCCCCCCTCCTGTTTCTAGGCCAGCCCCCCCCCCCGGGGAAAGATCCAAGCACCCCATGGACTGGCCCTTGGCCCTTGAGTTTGACACCCTCGCCATAGATCATTTTAGTTGCCTTTTACCTTAATGGCAGAAAAATAAAACAGCTAAATCTTTCAGTTTTTGAACTGGCACCTATATTCAATAATGGAATGAAGTCCCTGAATGTGTTTCATTATTATTATTGTAGGCATTTCTGTTACTACCCATCCTTATCCTGGTGGGGAGAGTCAAGAGCAAGTCATGTAAGATATGCTGATTTTATCATTTTTCTTCTTAATATAATTGTAAGAAAAATAGACTCATCTTCTGCATTACAGTTATTTGGAAGTATAATCTAGTTATATTATATGCATGTCAGTCACTGTGAACAGGGACGGCTTATGTTTTATACAGTATGTTTTGAATTTATCATAAATATTATCCCAACTAGTAGAACAAGAAATTGCACAGCGCTGGAGAATAGGTATATATTTAAATATTTATAAACTTCTATAATTTTATTATCTATCCACTATAACCATTGTCCACCCATTAAAATCAAGATAAACAATTCAATAAAAAGTAAGTAAAATGACAAGATTAGAGAAATAGAGGAGGAACTGAGTTATTACAACTGCAGCCGAAAGCATAGTCTGTTAACCTGACTTTAGTTAGTAGCCTGGCATCTATAGGGAGAAAGAAATTCTATAACCAAAATGTCATAACCATGAAAGCCCATTATTGCATCTCCACATATCGCCAACTGTATGTTACATTCTGTAAAGACACCACACACATACAGGTGAAACTCCAAAAATTAGAATATCATGCAAAAGTTCATTTATTTCAGTACTGCAACTTAAAAGGTGAAA